CGATTCCAACTTAAAAAAAAAAATCCTAGTTGAGTTAAAGCATTTGCGTGGAAAGACAATTTACTAATTCTTACAATTTCAAATTAAGTATAAACAATCTTCTCCTAAAAACATGCACTAATGTAATTACTAAACAATAATGTTAACTAAAATAGATCCTCCTATTTAAGTGTAGTGTTTTATATAAGTAATACCAAAAATATTTGAAACAATTAGGACCATTAATATTAATATAATTAATGGCAAGGATTGGTTCCTAGTTCTTACACTCACATAGAGTTCTCATTTGAACTCTTTCCTATATATAGGGTGTGGTTCCAATAAAAACCCTTCTTAGTGTAAGAACTAAGAATCAATCCTAACCCTTTATATATATATATATATAATATATAGTTGTGTGTGTTTTTCTTAAAAAAAAAAATGTGTGATTTTTTTTATTTTTCTTGCGTGAGTTTGTGGAAAAAAAAAGTATTATATATTTTGTGTTTAGTTTTTTTGCGTGAGTTTTTTTTTGGAGAAATAAAAAAAAAAATTCTTCAAACACTAGTCCGCGAATCAAAGAGCGAAGAGAAGAGAAGAAAGCCATGGCCAATCGAGAGATGAAGAGAAAAATTGAGAGCTTGGAAGGCCAATTCAAAACCATGAGCGAATCTATCGATGCAAGGTTCCAAGCCATAACCGGAGAGCTCATCGACACCAAGGCCGCCATAACCGATCACCGCACGGCGTTGATGGAGGCCATAAACCGAAGGTTCGACGAAGTGGCGCGCCACCTCCAACACCAAAGGGGATGGTCACCACCGCAGCCGCACGTACGCGAACGACCCAGGAAGTACACTCAACATTACACCGAGTACAAACAAGAAAAGGATGTCGAGCAGCGGCCTCAGGCATCAAACATTCATGACCACCCACGGCTCGACGAGTGCTTACGGATGGCGCATCGACCAACCGCGAAAAATGATTGACCACCACCTTACGGGTACGATCGGTCGAGGAGAGAGCGCGAGCAAGCTGAGATCAAACAAGAGGAGTCGCAAGTGAGCGACAAGTCCCAAGGCGAGTCCAAGAATGCGACGGAGGTCGAATTGGTTGAGCAAAATAAGTGCGAGGTGGAAATTACGGTCGAGAAAGACACGCCCGAAGATGAGTTAATCGATGTCGCGAGCGAGATCATGGCCGAAGGAGCCAAAGTGTTCAAAGTCGAGAGCAAGGTTATGGTCGAGGTCGATGACGACCGTGAGTGGGATACGAGCATGATTGAAGAAGGAGTCCCCGAAGTTCGGATGTTGGAGGACAAGTCCTTGAGAACAAGGACTCATTCGAAGGGGGAGGAATGATGCGGAAGTGGCTTTTGAGGCCTGAGCACGCCGAGAGCCAATGGTCGAGACAATCAGGGAAGGCCGAGAAAAGGACCAAAAGCACGCATGCATGGCCTAAGAGACGAGTACGAGCTCGTATGCGAGGCACCCAAACACGCGAGAAAGAGCGCATTCAAGAAGAGCGCGCACACCCGCATTGGCGTAGACGCGCATGGCGCTTGATGGTTTGGCGAAGAGGCGCGCAGGGGGTGGATGTTGGGTGGTCGATGCGCGCGAGAGATTACCGCGGGTGGACGGAACAAGATGATATATGCACGGTAAGCGGGCAAGCCACGGGGGT